TAAAGCAAGGTTCTATTCTGATGTTAAACCACACACACTCGTTCAGTTTATATATATATATATATATATATATATATATATATATATATATATATATATATATATATATATATGCATATTTTGGTTGGTTCTTTCTAACAAACAATGTATTAGGAGATTAGAAGTTATGTCACACAACGTGTACATATTCTTCTGTCTATATTTAGAAAGAAATTTGGACGTGTTTTTTTGTTCAATAGTCTGGTGTAGTTATTTTAAAATTCATTAAATTTCCTTACAGGTAGATTTTAGATTCTGCTTTGAATGCAAGTACTTCCCTTAATTTCTTTCGTTTCACCAGTGTGGAAATAGTTGCTCTTTTTTTGACTAATTCTGTTTTACTGATATAGTAGCTGTTTTTACATTACCACTACATGAGAGCAAGTTCCTTGTTATCAAATCTAACACACTTATTAGTCATTTATTTGATTCTTTCAAAAAGTATTGTAATCCTACATGTCAACCAAACAAAAAATATACCAAAATATTTGTCATCAATATATATATATATATATATATATATATATATATATACACACACATACATACAGGGTGGCACTCAAAGATTACTGGCTACTTTAAAACTTTAGAAACACCAAAGAACACATTAGCCAAAATGCTGTGATAAAAGCAAAGATGGGGATATTAATTTGAAGAATTCTTTGAAAATACTGTAATTCCCCATGTATAATAAACCTTCATCCATAATACACACCCTTAAAATTGTGTGAAAATGCTTCTACTCATGCATAATACGCACCCCTTCTTTGGTAATCAAACCCTATAAATTGTACCTCTCCAATTTCATTATGTCCAGCGTTTCCTACTCTTATTTAAGCTGTAATTGAAGATATTTATCAAAATTTCTGATCAGCACAAATCTAAAAGAAAATGGAAATACCTATATTGTGCAAACTCATTAACTGGTTTTTGTTTGATAAAATATGCAATCTACCAGATCTGTATGCAGTTTTTCATAAAATGTGGTTTTAAACAGAATAATATTATTTTAATTTAATTTTATGATAATTCTTATTTTATTTTACATTTGTAAGTATTGTTAGGTACATATAATTGTATTTAACATCCTTATGGGGTCGGAATCATCAAATGTTAGTGTTAAATTATTGTATGTTTGTGGTGAGTAGTCATTTCGCAACTGAAATCGACCTATGAAACAGCAATTTTTTAAAGATTTTTTTGTAGCTGTGCATAATACGCACCCCTAATTTTGCTTATTATTTTTTAGAAAAAAAAAGCGTATTATACATGGGGAATTACGGTAAATTTTGTAATAAATTCAAGCAAATAGAATTCTATTCTCTAAAGCAGATACTAACTCATGCTAGTCACAATTTCAGTTCTCATGTGATTCTTTCTATAATATAAATTCCATTTAAAAATGCATTATCTAATCAATCATTTTAAGGCTATTCATTTTCTCCTTAGATTTCATTTTCCAACAAAAATAGAAAGGAGAGACTTAAGTGTAAGAATATTTAGACATAGGTTTAACAAAAAAAAAAAAAAAAAAAAAAAAAAAGCTATACTAATTGATTAATAAACTTGTATAGGGGCACATGTTTAAATGTGATTGGCTAAAAAAATTTCTTCATGGATCATTTAACAGATCATATGAGTACAATACATTGAATTTTTTTTATCAGTATTGGAAATATTAAATAATTTTTTTGTATAAATAATGGAAATACATAGAAATTAATGAAATTTATACCAAACTAAATATGGCTAGTCAAAGAATGCCTGAACTACATGTTGATTTTTTTTCTTTCTTTTTTAATCCTCTTTGCAAAGTATGATATTATGAGATCACAGTCTATTAAATAATGGCATAAAATAAAACAATTGTCTTTGAGGCAGTCATCACATGTTGCTAATGAAATAACATGATTAAGGCAGGCAGAATTTAATCAATATTAAAATAAGTAATAACTATTTCATAAGTTGAGGAGGTTAAAAAGTATGGTGCTTCTACAGAAAAAAACAATTCAAGAAATAATCATTTTTTTTATTTTTATTTTTTTTTATTTCATATCAATTAAGCTCTCCAGATCATAAATTTTCTAAATTTTTGAGTTTTCTATGAAAAATCATTGTAAATTGATTCCCCTATGCAAGCCAAAAAAAAGTAAAGGAAATGGAAAAAAAGAAATTAGTAGTATTATAATAATAATAACAACTATAATAATTATACAAAAAAAATTGTCTTCATAAGTATAGCCCACACATTAAGAATTTTGTCTATGTAAGTGATGTTATGGGAATTAAAAAAACAAATCATGAAATGTATCCATAACACACCACTACCTGCCTTAGGTCTTCCCGCAGACTTGGTAGGTGGTGTGTGACAATAGCAGAAATGGAAATATAATGATGACGATAATAATAATAATAAAGGGTAAGAACCAGTTTTAAATTTATATTTTATAGATGTTTTGAAATTATTTCAAATTTTGTATGTAAGTATTATTTTAACACACAGGAAAACGGTAAGTAAGAATTTTAAATAATATAAATATTAGAACATAAAAATCTTTGATATTTGTGATCTGGAGTGTCTATTTGATAGTAGTATGAAAAATAAATTGAAAAGTTTGATTATTTTTTGGAGGTGTGATTCTGTAGAAATACCAAAAGTATGACTGAGCAAACTTCAGTCCGTTTCTTGATTTAGTAATTAAACATTTTTTGTTTATTTTTCTCACCTCTATGCTTGAAAGGGATACAGGCCTCTTGGATTGGATAAGAGATGAATCAGGAATGGGTGACAGAAGTTTGAACTTCTGGAAGATGATCATAACTTTTAGTTTTGTTTGCTTACTTTCTCTTTGAAAGGAGTTTGTCAATCATGTTCGTACAAATTATAAAAAAAAAAAAAAAGAAATTTTTTTAAACAGTTAAAAATTAAATATTTTCTTTTTAACTTAGTTTTTTTTTCCTGATAGCTGCTTTCACAAAGAAGCAAATGTTTTTTCTTCTTGTTCAAAATGAACAATAATTAGATGATAAACAGAGGTCAACAGTTGTAGGAAATTCAAGTGGAATTTAGAGACATTTTGAATCTGTGTTAATTTTCAGATACGGTATTTTCAATCATCTGGAAAAGTTTTTATTCAGACTGGTCACTCATCCTAAAGTAATTAAAAATTATTTATTAAGCACCGAGAGATTGTTGAACTCTAAACCTGTGGTATTTAGTCAAATCCTCTATCCACTGAGCTATCATCCAGGTCTCTAAGATCAGCAAGTTGATAAAATAATTATTCCAGCAGGTTTGTCTAATCAGAATGTTTACAAACACATCCAGAAAGACAGAAGATTGAATCAGCAGCAGAGATCAGTCAGGCACTCAGTAGTAAAGTACTGAATTTGAAACGACAAGGTATAAAGTTTAAACTCTCATGCTTGGCAGGTGATGCATGTTATTATAAATAGTTTACATGACTGAAAACAGATTTCAAACCAGAGCGAAAAAAAAAATCAGCTCCTCCTATATAGTTTTAAAACTATAGTTTTGAACCAGAAAAAAAAAAAAAAAAAAAAAAAAAATCAACAATGTATAAATAATGAAACCAAACAAAATACTTTTCAAATTAAAAAGAGGAAAAATGTTAACAAATGTTAAATAAAAAGACTCACAAGTTTCTTTATTCTATTATTCTCACCATTTGTTTTGCGTTTTCACTAGGCAAGTGATGGTGTCAACAAAGGCATCTATTTGTAAAAATATAAGAAATTGAATCTATCTCACACACACTGAGAAATCATAAAGGCAACCATAAAAATGAGAATTAGTTTCTGGTTTTGAATATTTTACATAACTGATACTATTCACATAATTTATGACTATATGCTTACTAAATTTTAAATATAAAACTCAATTTTAAATAATTTTTTTTTTTTTTTTAAGCTTTTCATCCCAAGCCAGGCAGGAGTGCCACTAGCACACAAGGGGTTACAGAGAGTGGGAACAAGAGTAAAGAGGCATGAAAGATGAAAGGATGAAGAGAAAGATGGTGAATAGATAAAGGCATCTAGAATTGTCGATTGACATTGCATTTGAATAGTTGGAGATTATAGCTATCAGGGAAGCAAATAAGAGGAAGGGAGTTCCACAGATGGAAAGTGCAAGACATGAAGTAGAAGAGATGGCTACATTTAACCATTTCAACAGTGAAAGAGTGGGACCGAGATGCTGTGGCACATTTAAATTCATACAGTTTGGGAACTAGCAAATATAATATAATTATTAATATTATTGAATATTTAAATTAATAAATAACTTTATAAAATTTAACAAGTTAAAACCGTGTGTGTGACCACTTCAAAATTCTTTAATAATATTAATTAAAATTAATGAAATTTCAAGTAATGAAAATTAAAATTCTCCTTATAGGTCTTAAATTATTTAGGATGTGTTCTAAAAATTTTAGGTGATTTAATAAAATCAATTTCTTCAATGCAGCTGATGTAAAACAACCAGATCTAATGATGAGAATAACAGAAATAATAAAAATAGATTAATTAACATAAAATTGTTCTGATTGTAATTCCAAAACACAAAGGAGGTGTGTAACAGCCTGAATACATAAATTTCCTACATTGCCAAAAGCAGATTTGATTTTCTTTTTGCATCTTATATCCACCTTTTTTTTTTTCCACATAAGAGATCATTAGACATAGTAAACTGGAAGTTGTGGGCAAAAAGGCAGGTAGAGTTTGAGGATCATTATAGAATGTGCAGCAGGCAGGAGATGATCTTTAAGGTGTCTGATGAACACAGATCAGATATGACAGCATTTTGTGGCACTATGGCAGCTACTGGCCCAAATCTGATGTCCATCAACAGTCGGCTCTTCAACCAGAAACAGCAAAGTGTTGGACTGTGCACATATTCAGTGAAAGGAACACATAATTTAAAAATGATTTTTTTTTAAAGGTTATTTTTGTTCTGAATCTTTATTTTCAGTGTCCTCATCAGTGTCCTCCAAAACAGAATCCTGTCAAAGAAAAGGAATAATTAAAGTTGATTAAAAATGTGTTGAAAAAGGAAGGAAATTATGAAAAGTGTAAAAGGATGCAGGAAGAGAGGATAGCAAAGACTTCATTAAGAATGGAAGGAAGACAATATAAAGGAAGGTAAAAAGAGAAAAAAAGAGTGGGGAATGGTATACACTACAGAATGGAAGCAAAGATTGATTAAATAGGTTGATGAATATGTGGACCAAAAGAAATAGAATAAGAGAAGAAGATAGTAAGGAGAAAGAGAAAGTAAAATGCAGATGATGTAAAAGTAGGATTAAGAAACTATAGAAAGAGTGGATTATTAGAAAAAATGTGTTGTAAAGTAGAAAGGATTAGGTGAGTAGTTGAGAGATTGGAGAAAAAAAAAAAAAGAGAAAAAAAATGGTCATAGATAGTGGGGAGGAAGAAAAAAAAAGAATGAGCATAGATAGTAGGTAGATAAAAAAAAAAAATGAATAAATGCGGTGAGGAAAAAAGAAAGAAGCAGAAGGGGGGGGGGGTGAGAAACAAAAATAAAAATGCAGATGAACCAAAAGATAACATGTATGGCATATGGAATTTTGAAATCAATAACTTGCACTATACTCAAAAACAAAGATGAATTAAAAGTGTTTGGGTAGCTAAAGAAATAACTAAACCATGTAGAAATTTTACTGAAGAGATCAAAAATTTAAAACAAAAGAAATTGCTGTGATAATATAAGTGAATTGCTAAGTTTTGCAAATGACAAACAGTTGTTTGATGATGTTAGAGCTGTGGCTCTAAATGAAAGTGATACTACAGTGATGAATTTTCTTGCTTTAATTTATTTCTTTAGGTGTTCTTTATGTATATAAAGATGTATTTATTATTTTTCTATTTTATCATTTTTATATGTTTTTATTGAATATGGGAGGAGACTTGGAACAGATTACACTTATGTATCTCAATTACTCATGTAATTGAGACATATGGGGGCTGTGGAATGGATAAGCTTCATATATAGACTCCAGTGTATATAGCAAATATTCTTATCAAGATTACTATTATACTTATATCTGGATGGAATTTTTCACAGAACAAGACACTAGAAAAAGCAGAGTTTATGTAGAATGTTAGTTTTTAAGAAACTGTATAATTTATTTTAAACATAAGAGATTGTTTTGTTATTGCAGGTTTTCCAGCATGGAATATATTTTCTTCTCATTTTATTTAATATTAAAATCTACAGTAAGAAAAATTTGGAATAAAGGTGTTTAGAAATTTTAGAAGTATTTGGGTTTTAAGTACATTGATATAATTATGCTTTAAATAAAAGTATTTAAGCTTAAAAAAAGTAACTATATATTTGAATAAACTTATTACTAAAAATGTGCAGAAAATGTTTATTTTTGGGTCTGAATGAATAAAACATAATGATCAATTTTTTCATTAAGAGTTAAAATTACATCTTAAGCATGTAAACTATTGATTGTTTATTTTATTAATAAATTTGTTAATGACTTATAATAGTACTTGGTCTCCTATCCATAACACTACTATAATGACATGATCTCTAATTCTGATAAAAGTCATTCAAAAAGTTGTTCAAATTCTAAATCTCCCTATCATTGGACTTCTCAAAGAAAAATGCCTGTACTGCTTAAGAGCTAATTGTTATTCTTCTGCCTAAAATCAGTGGAGTATTTGTGCACTCTAGGATACCATTGTTATTCTTCTGTTCTCTACCTAGGATCAGTAGAACATTTGTGCTCTACCTAGGATCAAATTCTACCTAGAATTAGTAGAGTATCTGTGCACTATGTCATCTAGAATTTACAAGTTCATTTTGGCAAACATGAACTTATATACCGACAATAAGACAGTGTTTCCCCATGACACTGTTTTTTTTTTTTTTTTTTTTTTGTATCTACCTTCATTCCTCGGCAATGTTTGTTTTAAAGGGGAATGATTAGAATTGGAATTAAACCTGAACATATGATGAAAGTGAATTTTAAACATTTTTTTGTTCTTGAGAATTTACAACAAAAATATTAAACACTATTTATTAGATTGTTTATTTACAAAAAGTTTTATATTTACAACATTCTGAAAATGAATGCAATTAGAGTTAATGCAATACAATATTTATCGTTTACCAATTTATAAAAAAATAAATACGAAAACAATTTTTTATTCATAAATTTATAAACATTTACTAAATTATTAAAATATGTGAACCAACTATAAGGAAATCCTTATTTACCATTTGATAAAGTTTGAATCAATTGGCAATTAGCCAATGTTTACCAACTATTTCAATAAATAATATAATAGTGTAAATAAACAATCTAATAAATAAATAGTGTTTATTATTCATGTTGTCACTTTCATATGTTTAGGTTTTAGTACAATTCTAATTATTGCTTTTTAAAACAAACATTGCTGAAGACTGAAGGTATTTATAAAAACAGGGTCATGGGAAATGTCCTTTTGACACTACATCTTATTGCAAGCATGTAAGTTCACATTTGCCTTAATTTTACTGTGTTATTTAAGCAACAAAATTCTTATTTCCAGGCCAGATGTTTGAATAAGGGCAGGATTCATTATATATCAGTTTGCCTTTAGCATGACAAATTACAGACATATGAAAAAAGAAACACATTGAAAAGAAATTATTTTTGGTTGAAGAATGAAGTAGCCAAAATATGGCAGCAACAAAGACAAAAAGAATGAAATCAAAAATCTGAACAAGTTTTGGATTGAGACAGTGTAATATTTGGATATATATTTTTTATTTTGAAAAATCTGGCAAATATGGTACTTGAAAATTATGCCTCATTAGATAATTACTGCAATTAAAATTTTGATGGATTGATTAGTTTTCTATAGCTTATCAACACTTTGCAGGTTATTTAAAGCCAGAAAATAGTATAAGATTTTTTTTTTTTTAGATAGTAATAATTTAGCGATACAAATTTTATTAATTAACCCATAGCTGGGGGTAGAAGAAGTGCATTCATGCCTTTCCCAAAGGTATTTGCACATAAGTAATTATAATGAACCCAACAGGAATTGGAACTCTGCTCTTCAATTAACAATTCTGAGCTATTATCCATTACACCATCCACACATCCAAGCTAACTGCAACTGATATTCCCAAAAAGTTACCCATCTAGGTACTGACCAGGCTTGACATTGCTTAACTGGTGATCATATGGGAACTGGTGTTTTAACATGATGTGGCCATTAGCACACCTTGTGATAGAAATATGGAAATTCAACAGATTTTTATTGTCTTAGTTGAGAATTCTTGCTTTATTCACAATATTAGTTTGGGAAAGGCTGAACTAGGGATGAAGTTTCCTTACTTCCAGTTGTCTGACCACCTTGAAACACACAGAAAGTTGTGAGAGTTCGACTTGAGTGAAATCTCATTTTTGACTCCTGCTCCTTAACTAGTTGCTTAAGATTCGAGTTAAAATCATCTAATCCTTATGTATTACATGACTAGATTATGAGTCTTGCCTTCATTTGACCATGTGTAAAAATTGATATGCCCTTTTGAACAGAATAGTATGATTTTCTTTGGTCAAGCTATGCTATTGAACAGAAGACAAATAATTCAGTTTTCAAGACAATTGCAATAGACTCTTACCCAGCCTCCTCTCTCAACAATGTATGCAGCACATTTATCCTCAAAGTATTGCAAAGTAAGATCCTTGACTTGACTTGCTAATGCTCGACCAGCACCAACAAGGCTAATGGCAGCTTTAGATAACATGAATAATGTCACAACCTCCTGGAATCCATTTTTATTTTTTGTGTAAGCTTCAACAATCTGTTTGAAATTATTGTAAGTCAACTGTTTCAAAATTTCCATTGCTGCAACTGATGGAAATGGTGTCTGAAAAAGAAAAAAAAAGAATGTCTAGTTTATCTATATGGCTAAAATAAATTAATTAAAATAAGTGTCAGCAATATTTTGTAATTATATTGGTTATATTTTCTGCATAAGCATTTGAGGATATTTTATTCTATTATTCACTCAATGCAAGGCTTAAGGGTATTTAAATGGGGTTGTTTTATTGATGTAAGAATTGTAGATTATGAGGATATGTAGGATAGAAAGGAGTTGACTATGTTGTGGTCAGGGAAGCATCCTTTCAGAAAAGTGTTCCATTTGGGCAGCAGCCTTTGAGAAGCTGCCCAAATAGAACTTCTTTCAATAATAATGGAATACGAAGTGAATGAGGATGGTTTGCACCTGCATACAAGGAATGATGGGTCTTAGCTGTAAAATTCTGAATTGGAGAAACTAAGGAATGTAGCTTTGTCAGAACATTTTCTATGGAAATAGTGGTGGAGTAGTGATAAGCTTGTGATGTTGTATCTGTTGGAAAAGTATTGTAGAATGGGAAATAATTCATCACCTCCAAGGCCATGTAAATGCTTTTCAACTGTCAAGGCTGAAGAGAGAGGGAGAGAGGATCAGATATGCCAGCAATACACCATTTCTGGTTTGATCTGACTCTTGTAAAAATAGAGCACTAATGTGACTAAAACATCAGCTGATTGAAATTGGATTTATATAAAGAAAAAACCAACACTAACACTTAAACAGAAAAAGAGCTTACAGTGAGCTACAAAGAAGCAACAATGTAGTGTGGATGACTGGAGGAAAGTGATATTCATTGATGGACCACAAATATGATGACTTGTCTGGTGCCATTCCAATGAAACAAGATTACTACAAGCACATTTACCCACTTATGATATGGAACTGCTTGTCAGGCAATAATCAAGTAAGTGTGTGTGTGTGTGTGTGTGTTTGTGCATGCTAGCATCTGTTGCTTTGTAATATACAAAATACCCAGTTCTTGATAATGACTGAGACAGTCAAGAGTATTAAATCAAAACAGAAAACATGAACAAGACAGTTTATCCATAATTTTGATCCTGATGAACAGCATAAAAAAAAAATTTAAGACAGATGTTGCTGATTGAATTTAACAAAACTAGTTAAGATGAATTCTTGCTGTCTAAATTTACCTTATATGTATTACTTTAAATGATATTAATAGGTAAATGTAATTTAGTTTTTCTAAAAAACAAAATGCCAATACAATTTTGTACTAAATGCAATGCTGCATGAATAGATAGTTGTACTGGTGGGAATTTTTTTTTTATTTTTTTTTTTTTAGGAAAATAATTGGGCAATTTTTTATTCTTGGGACAAAATAATTGTACTTCTGAGAAAATTACTTGAAAAATAACATGCCACATCAAATAAGCACTGCACCAGGAGAAAAATTGAAGAAAATAATTTAATCCTGCTGACACTTGTATTTAGCACACAAGAGTAATAAAATATCTCAGATATTCAACTTTAAAAAAAAAAAATTTTTCATGGATAACTAATTTCATATATAAATACTCAAATGAGTGCATATTTACTGAATTTATTCATTCTGATTATTAACAACAAAAACTTACATTTCCTTGAATTGACAAAAGATGGTCGACTATTTCTTTTTCCAACTCTGTTAGTTCAGCTGAAATAAAAACAGATATTTTTATTTTAAAATAGATCAAGGAAAAGTAAACGTTTTTGTCTGAGAGAAAAAAAAACAAAACAAAAAACCTGAGACGTCATAATTACCATAGGATCAAGGGCGCATTACTCAAATTAAGAGGAATTGAGAGTTATGCCCCTTATATTTATATGCCATAAATCAATCAGTTATGAGCCATGCGTAAAACACTCTTAGGTGAACATGTACCTTTCGATACATGACTGACGAGGCAGATTTTTTTCCCCGCAGTAGGTTGCCATTTCTTTCTGCGGTAGACCAGTTGCTATTTACCCATAGCTGGGGGAGGGAAGGGGAGAGAATAAGAGTCATATCTTTTCCCAAAGATATTAGAAAGTAAGTTAATGTAATGGATTTGACTGGAATTCGAACTTGGCTCTCCAATTCCTCAATCTGAGCTGCTATCTATTACTCCGCTGTGCCTCCCAAAAAATAAATTAATGCTTTATTAAACTAATACTCACACACAGCCCAAGAATGCATGAAATTAGTGATAGCTTCTAATTTCTTATTTAATATTTTAAAATTAACCAAAATAACCTGAATCTGTTTAATGTATCTTTATTTTAATTTATATTTCTTATATTTTATTTTATCAAAGTATGCTATTGTACACATCCTTGTATGTTCACTGGTTGCTTGGTACTTAAGTATGGAAGACTGTAAGGACAACAGTTCAAATAAGATCTAAAGAGATAAGACTAGTTTTAAGTTACCCAAATTTTTTAGAGGAAGCACGATTTGGGGGGGGGTTGGGGGGGGAGGTCTTTTTCCTTATTGTTATTTTTTTATTATCCTTGTTCATCAGTAGATTATTCCTTATTTTCAATCTCTGCAGAAGAAATTTCTATCATTCATAGTTGATCTACAGAACATCAATGATGAAAATTCGTGTCATCTGGAATAATGGTTACAGCAACAAAAACTAGAGACTTATCACATTTTGCCTTAGGAATTTTAAAATTATAACACTCAAGTAAGCTACATTGCATTTCACATAATTAGCAATTTCATGTTTTATCAATATAGAAAGATATTTAATGGTTTATTTGCTAAATGATAACAATATCTGCACAAATAGGATAAAAGCTAGTTTGTTCCATGCAGTTGCAAACAAGCAACAATTATTTGTTTCAAATGTCCTGAAGTTTCAAATTAATAGCCATGTTGCTTTAAAATGTGTTGTAAGGCTGATTTGACACAAAGGGAGTTGTTTAATAATTTCTGAGCTTGCAAAAAGTAAGTGTTGGAAAATGCAAAAATGATCATCAGGAAGCACCAAACTATAAAGTTCATTGACTCTCCTAGATAATGCCAATGCAAATCTGATAAGAGAAGTCAGTCTCCATTAATCCCTGAAATTTTTAGCTATTATCACAGAGTGAGGAAGTATCCAATAGTGCAATATTTAAAGTCTTAAATAAAATGGCAAAACATGTCAAAACTGATCATTAGGCCTAAATCAAATGAAAATCAAAATGAAATGTAGTAGAATATAGTTTGATGGTTGACTGCTGACAGTAACCCGCCTCACAGGTTGAAATATCAACAAGACAGAGAAGACATGATGTTTGGGGTGGGATTACATGTGGTGAAATAGTGATCCCAGGGTGAGTTTCAGTTGGTGCTAAGATGTCATCTAGGACACATATGGAGCCTTAGCTCAAGAATAATTATTTAAAAAAAAAAAAAAAGAAAAAAAAAAAGGACTATTTTTATGCCACATTCTAGATGCTAAATGGGATGAAGCAATTCTAGATGTCGTGCAGTTTATTTCATGTGAAGAAATATAACAGCTCAGTAAATCAATGGATGAATGATTTTTAAAACTAGTCTTAGAACATGGTGCATAAATTTGTCTTACAAAGACACGGTTTTCAATTTTTTATTCAAAACAAGTCTTTGTAAAATTTGCACACATTATGTAATTATAATTTTTAATTATTGTATAATGTTTTTTGGAGTTTCAACAACATGGCTAATATGAAACTTGCAAAATTTATACACATGAGGTATCCTACTCAGTATTAGTGCATATATTTTCATTAATTTCTTTGTTTTCTAAAAAGTAAGAAAGATTAAAAGTGGCTAATTGAGTTACAGTACAATTAAGAATAATGAAAGTGAACCTTTTCTTACAATAAAAAAAGAGAGATATGCACAGGTAACTTATAGAATATACCAAAAATTCAACTTGATTAGAAAAGCAATTGTTTAAAATGCATCCCAATTTTACTAAGAAATACTTATATAATGAAAAATATTTATGAGGGCTGATTGATAAGTCTATAAAATTGTTTTGAGCAGATAGAATAATAAAATTGGTATCAAAATGAAGTCAGTTTATTTTCAAAATTATGAGTGTTGATCTCCAATCCTACAAACAATGTTTTGACCAGACAGTATAATGAATCTAGTATCAAAATGAAGTCAATTTACTTCTATGCTAATTTACAAGTTTACTTTTCAATAATCACCATTTAATATTACATATTTCTTCAAACATTCAATCCACATTTTTTACATCTATGAAAAGATTTGTTTTTTTTCTTTTTGATCCAATTACACTTAACTTCAGCTTTGGCATCAGATAAAAAATGTTGACGTTTTCCACTCACTTTCAATTTTGGTAACAGTTAGGTTTGAGGGTGCTGAATTAGAGACTGCATGAAAGATGTGCAGCAATATTAATTTCAGGCATTGCACTGTTTGATAATTGGAATGCAACCTTGTGTTTTCATGATGCAAAAAAGTTCTCTTTTCAGGCCTTATTCTGTACATGCATTGTTTGAGTCCTCACAATGCCTGAATTTCAAATAGCCCATAACCTTTTAATTCCAAAATTTCTATCACTGATTACTACCTGTTATGTGTATAACTTGGATATAGTATTCATGACTATTGAAAATATTACTCAATGTTATCACACTGAACTGGAACTAAATAAAATTTGAAAAAGGACTTTGTATATTACAGAATTCATATTCAAATAGTTTTAGCTCCATTACTTATGATATTAGATGGTAGGAGACTTTACTTTTCAATCAACACTTGCATGATTGACAAATTTGTTAGTCCTACATATCAGCTGGCCCAGCCTATGGCTTTCAGGCATATTATCCAGATTAAATATTTTATCTCAAATTTCCTTTAGCAAATTTCATATTGACAGTACATTTAACGACAGCCATTGAATGGTTCAGCTGAAATGTTGTGGAAACAAGAAAAATCCTAAAAATTTAAAAAAGAAAGTTCAGTTGTTACAAATACTCTTTGTATAATAATGATTCTTCTCACAATAATTGTGAGAAGTCTCTATGATGTACTAGATGTGAACTTAAAAGGAAATACATATTAAATCATATTTATCTTTGAATGAATAAACATGGGTGCTGTAAATAAACAAAATTAAGATACTTACAGGTGTCTGGCACTGGAATTTCAGAAGCAGAGCAGGCTCCTTCAGAATCTGATTGAATGTATTCATCAGCCATGATGGCAAGTTTACTTGCCACTCTTTTATACAGTGCCATTTTGTTTTGCTCACTATCATCCTCAATGGCTCCACCAACAGCACCATCAACTTGATCTCCTTCCATCACTGAAAGATAAATATTAGAATGGAGAAAATTTGGAAACTGCTAATAAAATGGCTTGCTTGTGCAATAAGGTTCCCATTTAGGAAGCTTGTTTTCAAAGTTCTTTTATGTGCTGTGTCTCTTCAGGGCATAGAAAATGATGACTCTACAACTTCCTGCCCTTTTTAAACTTTTAGTACAGTGTTTTTTGCTGTATCTCCTACAAGCTCATTAGGTAGGTTATGCACTGCTTTTCTCTGTCCATCTTGCATTCAATGTCCTGTGAATGTCAAATTTTCCAAGCCCACTTTCCTCATTATGTGCCCTAAAAATTTCAACTTTTTCCTTCTGATGTCTAAGTGTTCTTTTTGTTTTCATTTTCTCTTTTTGCTTTGTTGCTGCTCACATGTTCAGTCCATGGTATGCATCAAGCATCAGACAATGTGAGAGGGTTGCTGATTGATTGGTCGCAGAAAATTTAAGGGAAAATGATTCTTTAAGCAATTTTTTTTCTCCCCAGTAATTTAAGATTTTGACTAGTACTTGGGTTGCTTAATTTTTGCACAAGAATTTGTACTCAAGTTGCTTAAAATGGTTGCTTAATTTGTTTATGCTTAGGTCTAATAAATGGAAAAGAAAGACATTTCAGTGTAACTACAATTGATAGAATTGTTGAACATGGTATAAAATATATTTAGTGTTTAATTTTATGCATTTGTAGCACTTAAACCACACTGATGTCAGTGGGAGTTGCTTAAGATTTAGTCAGAGTTGAGTAATGTTGCTTATAAACAAGTTGCTTAAAAGAAAAAAAAAGTGTACAAAGTTGCTTATCTACGTTTTTTGATCTTTCTTGAATAGCAAATACAACCAAATAAAATTTATTGAAACATTTTTATAGACTAATAGGGTTATTTTAATTTAATCTAACTTAAGCAATGTCAGAAGAATGCTCCTGTAATATAGTTAAATTTTTTATTTAGTTATTTATATTTGGACTGTTGTCCTTGTCTTTGTTGTTGTCACAACATTCCAGTAGTTGTGATAACAATAAAGATGAGGACAATAGTCTAAATGTAAATAGTGTAATAACTCTTCATCCCGGAAATTCAGACAAATTAGTTATCTTTAATTTAAAATCTTCAGAGCAATATTTTTATGTTAGTAAATATGTTTTTATATATGCAAAGGAAACAATTTTTGTAGCTATAAGTTATATTTGTTAAAAACTCACATCTGAATGATTGAGTTTAAACTTCTTTGTTCTCCAAAGAATATTCAATATATTCAGGTATTTTTCTATTTTAACTAGAAATTACATTACAAACAAAATAAAAATAGTATAAAGGGTGTTCCAATAACTTAGACTGATTTTAAATGTTAATTAAGTTTAAGCATCTAATGATTGACTTTGTTCAAAAATTTTAAAAAGGATTTTTCATGATTGTTAGAGATACTCAGGCCAGTGCTGGTGATATTTTAAGGTGGAGAACATGCACATTGCAGACGCTACCATTTAAACTAGGGGCCTATATGCCTCAGATCAGCTAGACAAGAATTAAAGGATCAATTTTTGAATTATTGATATGCATGATATTTGCTCAACCATTAAATGTACTATGGAAATTTTGACACCTTATTTCTTATGCATTCAGATTATATATATATATATATATTACACATCCATATATACATACACACAATAATTAGAGTGATTGAAGATTTTGATGTAGTTTTTAAATACTGTTTTTTTTGTGCATAATATGAGAAATTTTGAATTAAAATTAAAGGCAAAAAAGGTGGGTTTCATTGTACACATCTTCAGGAATTTTTACTTGGTTTAAAACACCTATTTGAAACAACAAGATTGCGAATATACTCAGCACAATAGATAAAACACAAAGTAGACAGGTGTTGATAACAAGTGTTTACAAAAGGTATGATATATTAGCAATATTTGTTTCAGTCTTAATGAATGACAATATTTTTTATTTTCATACTTTATTAATATAAAGAAATATCATAAAGTCATATCAAACAGAAAAATATGATAGATTAATTAAAACCTTAAAATGTATGTCTAGTTAGCACCTTTTGAAACAGAAATTAGAAGAAAAATGCAATGATTAAACATCCAGTTCATTTCTCTTCTGTAATATTAATATCACTTAATAATTAATTATATCATTTTTAGTGAAATATATGTACAATATTGTGATTTTAATGGATGATATGATACAACTTTTCAAAAAAGTTTATATAAGGATGGTTATATTATACTCAAAGCTGACATTTATAAGGATGGTTATATTATAAGTTCATAATTCTATTTATTTATAATTCTATTTACAAAGGATGGTTATATTATACTCAAGGCTGAAATTTATTCCCTGGTTTTAGCTTCAGAAACATATAGTTGTATTAATCACAAGAAAATACAGTAAATTCTTGAGAATAAAACTGGGTAATTAATAATTCTACTCAAGGCCACTGCATTCACTTTTACACAAATACCATAGGAAAGGTATGCATCCAATTCTTCTCACCCTAACTATGTGTTAAGTAACAAGATATATTGAATTCTCTAGCCTTGGAGTGACAACCAGTTTTTGAGAAGGATAACTGAATTCAAAACCTAATTGAGTGTGGGGTTAGTAACTATCCTGTAAAACCTACTTGTTTGTGAAACATAGCAGCAACGGTGAGTAGGATGTGGCTGTGGCCTTCTAATCCATGGAGGAGTCTACATGGTATACATCATCACCATCAGGATAATCCTTCACATAAGTGGTGTAAAATAATCTGTCAAAGTTCAGCTTCATTTAAACAGCAGAAAATAAAAAATGAATAATTTTATATCTTTAAATGTTTTTTCATTGTAAATATCACCGTGACCAATGGCGTACTGGCTATTGTGTATTCAGTGGTATGAAGAGGGTTCCAGAAAGTATTTTTTAGTTGAGGTGTCAGATTGGCAAGTAGAGACTCTGAAAGAGATGATGTGCAGTATATTCAGCCTGGAAGCCATGTTGTTTCAGATGGCTGGTCTGCTTATGTTGGAATCAAAGAAAATCAACCACGGGATATACTCTCATAACGTCATTATTCATAAGCAGCATTTTGTGGATACTGATGATGACACCATCCATACTCAAAACATGGAAAATCTTTGGATGCACGTCAAGCATAAACTTCACCAAAAGTTTTTAACTTCTGAGGCGTTGTTCATGCTCCACCTTCAAAAATTTGTGTGGCCTCAGCGGTACAAGAAAAGTCCTGTGTTTTCAGCATTTATTCACTGCATAGTCTGTCATTTCTTATTGTAATAACTAATTGTAATAAATGCATATACCTTGGTATTATTGATCTTACTACGTTCAAGGAATAGCAGTTTATTTGACACCACTATGCATTGAATCCAGCATCCACAAATGATGCTTTGGATGTTGGCTAAATATTAAATAAAAATGGTTATTATACTAACACCACTTCTTTGTTTTTTTTTTTAGGGGGGTTGTAAAAATGCTACAATGACATAGTAAAACAGTGTAATATAAAACAAAAGAAATTTGGTATGGGAATGAAGATCAATAAAGTGAGCAAAAAAAAAAAAAAAAAAAAAAAAAAAAGGAGAAAAATACATAAACCATTAAAAGCAGGTAGGCAAGCAGAAGGCAACATCAAGTTGTATGACCATAAATTAAATTAACAACTTGTTAAATAACTATTTACGAATTAACTTCAACATCCCTACCATTGAAGTTTCAATATATTTAATAGCAGGGATACAAACTGGAACCAAGAATGAGTTTTCAAGTTTGATTGTCAGCCGTATTTTGTACTTATACTTTTGGAAAAGGCATGAAACCAACTATTCTGTATCTTATCCAATTTTTAGTTATCTTGATGTTACCTTGTCAAAAGCACAATACAACAATACACAGTAATTCAGTGATGGTGTGCAAGTTTTTCTCATTACAATTAATTATAAATGCAATCATTGATTGCTAAGGTAAAATAATATTGTCCATAGAAAAGTGGAGAGACAAATGACAAAACAATAGCAATGAAGAGAATTAGAAGTAATTTCTCTTTTTATTTTGCAAATGATCAACAATGAACACAATTAAAAATGTCATTCTTATTTCTCAAACTGAAATATAGTTTAACCCATTAACTGTAGCAGAAATTTCCTTCGTTTGCAATTAAGGAATACTGGGTGTGGCAGAAATACCTCCCACATATAACTTTTTTCTTTTCAATCATTTTACCCCATGCAAAGCAGCAAAGCCATTAAGACACAATGGGTTACTGAGTGATTGAATAAGAAAAAAAGAGAAACATTAAAGAGCAAGAACAACAGAAGAGTAATCAAGAAGACAGTAGATAATGATTGATACTGCATTTAAATTTTTGAAGATCAAAGTAGGCTGGAAAGAATGAAGATGAAAGTGAGTACAGCATGTCAGAAAAGAAACTGTTAGCATAGAACTAGCCAATTACATCTAGCCAATTCAACTGTAAATTGATGAGACCTTATTGCCAATCTAGTACAGTGTTTAAATTCATTAAGTCTAGAAATCCAGAAAATAGTAAGACATTAGTAGCAATGGTGTCTTCATCTAGCTAATGTCTTACCATTATGTGGCGAGGTATTTCTGCTGCACTCTGTAGAAACTACAGGGAGGGAAATTTCTGTCATTAAAGTTAATGGGTTAAAAAATGGAGAGTTGAGCAAGCTGTTTTGGCTAAATTTTCATGGCCTCCAATAGAGATAATTCAAGAGAAAACACAAAATTGAAAATGTAAAATGATTTTTTTATTTTACTAATAACTAAGATCACTAGCTAAAAAGGAACAAAATTAACTGAATTCCAAGATAACAGCTTAGAAAAAAAAAAAAAACTTAATTTGAAGCTTAAGACAAAGTTTTCCATGCATGTGCTTCTGATTATCTTTTTTATAAAAGAAACTGCAGAAAAGATTATTGAAATGGATTTTCCCTTTTCTCTGAAATATTAGGTTGATAAATAACAAAGAAATAATTTGTATACAAATACTTAATCCTTCTACTTACCAATCTCATCAGACTGATCTGTTTCCAACTGATCAGTTAAATGTTCATGGTGTTCAATAACCCTATCACGGTGTGTTTGCCCATCAGGGGTCTTAATCGTGGTCACAGTCTCATAGTGTTCAGATTCAAAATCAAAATTCCCTGTAGCAGGTAGCTCCTTTGCAAAGACAGGATTGATGTTCAAGTGTAGGTGTTTCCGCTCCTTTGCAGACCCAACTTGGCAGCAAAAATCCTCAGATCCTCCTTCCATTGATATCACTTCATTAAATACTTTTGTAGTCAGACTCTTCTCATCTTCCTTTGACTCTTCCTTTGTGACATGGATGCACTTTTCATTAGAATCTGAATAAGAACGTCTGTAGATCTGCTTCTGTGCAAGTTCTACGTCTTTGTCTGTGGGATGAAAGATAGAAGAGCTTCTAGTTTACTAAATAAGATTCCAAAGCAATTCTGTAGAAACTGCCAAATGAAGATTTTGAAAATGATTATGAAGATACCAACATACATTTCGATAACAAGAATTTCTGCAGTGTTGAAAATTCATCAAGGGTTCATTTTACTGTTATCATTGTTTAAGAATTTCAGTGGATTTCTAGAAGAATATTGTTGAAACAGTCATGGTTTATTTGAATCTTATATTTTACAAGCATGAAGTTAAAAATATGGTTCAATAAACAGGGTTTAAATTTTACTCTAGCTTATACTTTGAAATTATACAATTCTACTTATCACTTTTTAAACTGTACCTCAGATACAAAAGAACTAATTTAACAAATAACCTACAGTATGCCAGAAACAAAATCTCCTGAAATACAAAGTTGAGATATCTGATAGGCTAACATTTACTCAGATGCTACAGACCACTAGTAGTAGTTGTATGATATATTGTATTGCCTGGTGAAGACCAGGAGATAGTACAAACAATAGTTCAAATATGAAAAACAATAAAAGATAACAGTCTGGAGAAACTTACAAGTGATAAAAGGCAATAATCAAACATTTGGTGACATTTTCATGCAAGGAAAAATATGTGATGCAAATACAAAACCACATTCAATTATTTTACCAGATTGGAAAGTTTTATAGTGAAACACTTTATTAATTATAAAAAGTCATAAATTTATTTTTTTTAGGCACATAATGATTCATTTTGTTATTGCCAAAGAAAATAAAACTCCAACTGAAATTAACTTGAAATATTTTTAAAACTTCAAATATTGTCTGTTTACAAAGCTTAGCTTCATGTGCTATAAAACCAAATTGTTGGGGTGGATAGATTTCTATTGTGAAAAAACTTTCAAGAAGAGAATCAGGTTTCAAAATCCTTATGGATAGTTATAATTTGGTAAATGATTTCATTATGTATATAAAGATTTAATGGTTGGAGATGTTTTTGACAATGGCAATATCAAAATCTACTTTTCTGCACAAAAAAACATTTGCCTTGACTTTGCAATAACAAAAAGCCACAGAAATCAGAAAAAAGCTGCAATATGAAAGCAATTTTGCAGAAAAGCCTACGTTAATAGAACTTGTTAAACAAACAGAATAGTCATCAATAAAATTTCAAGTAAAAGATTTTTTAAATTTTAAAAGATGGCAAACATTTTTTGCATAAAGAGTCTTTAATATCAAACCACTTTATTCCCATAGACCACCCATAAACCTTTTGAAAGTAGTTCATGATACAAAATGATGAGGTAACAATATTATCAATTTTATTATTAATTACACATTTCAATTTGTATTTTAAAGACGGTAATAAAAGAAGGTTTATTGTCACACTGGGCTTCATAGTTAACACACTGTGAAAATTTGGAGTAATAGATTAAAACAGGTGTAGTTTTTTTTCAAAATATTAAGTATATTTTTTATTATACAGACTTGTTTCTACCGTGCATTTAATTCAAAATACATAATGGCAGAAAAATCAGAGTGCATCTATTTATTTACCATCAAGTAATGTGACACAGTCTTTTAACCTTTCAAGTAGTTGTCTATAAAAAAGAAAAAGTTCTAACATAGTGAATTGTATAAATGTTATGCATATTTAAATTTATTTAATAATGTTCCTATTAAAAATGGTGTAAAAACAAAAAAATGACCTTAGCTCAAGAATTGCCTTGTCTAATTTTAACAAAATTTAGCACTGCAGTCCACAAGAGTGCAAGGTACAATATGGTCCTAAATTGGTTGGAATATTATATATTGTTTTAAGCTTTGGGAACATATACCATAATGGATATTCATTACAATTGGAAATATTTAATATACAGATTAGCCCCTTGAAAAGTGAACATTACCACAAAACTGTGAATCAGTGAAAATTACAGTCAAGTAATTCTTAATATATATATATATATATATATATATATATATATATATATACACACACACACACACACACATCAGAGTTTTAATATTATATAGATATTTGTATGAATTAGTTTTAAGCTAGTGATTCTCTTTGATTCATATTGTTTCTCTCTTATGCTCTGAAGAACATAAGGTGCATTTGGTATTTGAGAACACAAATTTAGTGGGCCATAAATGAAAAATAATATTATGAAGGAAGCATCAAATTTGAACATTCCCACTTCTCTTTTGGACATATTAAGAGCATTAACATGGTAGCTTCCAATCTGACAAGAATTTGGTTGGTTGGCTGATTTTGTTTAGTAGCCTATCAACCTCTATGGGTTATTTACTGCCAAAATCTAAATAATTTGAAAGCAATTGTATACTTTCAACTATAGATAAAATGTATTGCTGGTCATTTTACTATAAATATGTATTGTTGGTCCCTTTTTATATAAAAATGCATTGCTGGTATTTTTACTATACAAATGTATTTTTATACTTTCAAGTCACGGTGGAGTAATGGATAACGGCTTGGATTGAGGAATCGAAGAGCTGAGTTTGAATTCCAGTCAAATCCATTACAATCACTTATGTGCTAATACACTTGGGAAAGGTATTAATCCTCTTCTCTCTCCAACTATGGGTAAATAGCAGGACAGACCGGGTTCTATAGCCTTGGATGGCTACATTGGTCTACTGCAGAAAGAAATGGCAACCTACTGCTGGAAAAAATCTGCCTCATCAGTCATTTATCAAAAGATACATGATTGCCTAAGTGTGTATCATGCATGACAAAAAGAGTTTTGTTTGGTGTTCACTATTTGCCCATGACTAGGATCCTAACAGGTGCTACCACCACATAAGAATTTGGAAATGGCCAGCTTCTTCATATTCAATGTCCAGAATGAGCTGGAGGACTCAGGAAGGAACAAGTCATCTGTGGCTAAAAGAAAGAAAGATTCTAAGTAATCAAACATTGTAAAGATTGTTGAGCTCTTCGAAGAGATCCAGGATATCATCAGTCACAACCTTGACAAGTACATCATGTACAAGTCCCAAATGATGAAGAAAGGGCAGTTCATATACAAAAAGGCATGAGAGGACTGTGGGATCCAATTGAAGTATATGTGGAACAAACCCAAGCAACTTGTGTAACCCAGCATGTTCTTGTTCTTTTCAGATAAGAAGAACCAAGAAGAATGACAGGTGGGTCTGGGTAGACTCCACAGAAATACCTGCCAAGTTCACATGGTCTATGATGATTCTGGGGATTGTGAGCTACAACAGTTATGTTATGCTACCCCATTTCTTCCTGCAGGGTCTCAGAATCAATGCCAATACCTGCATGGAATTACTGGTCAGGTGCTGGATTAAGATAGTGACCCAAAGGAAGCCTTATGCATTCCAGCTTCCTTCCACATGACATAAGAGTAGATGTTGAAAGTTTATATGATCATATCACTGTCTAACATGTGTAGTATATCATTTACCTTAGATGATACCAAAATAGAGTTTGCATTTTCATCACCAGTGAAGTGTCAGTTCATACAATAAAAAGAAATTGTAAATGAAATAATTTTAAATTTGCATTCTTCCATCCCATGTTGAGTTTGTGCAAATGGGATCTATAGTAAGTACGGTTTTTGACATTTAATGTCCCTAAATATATAAATAAATTTAATGCTAATTTTCTTTTTGTGGCTTATAACTTTTACAGTATAAACATCCATTCAGATCTGTATCTTCCCTGGTACTGTGCCAGTGTAAATGTGACAACTAATATTCCAAATATAAAGGATCAAAGAGATTCTTCTGGAAATACAATGTCAAATATGTAGAGCTTCTTAGTTAAAATCTTTCTTACTTCCATTGTTACATTTTAGCTAATCCATTCTACAGCTTTCTTCAAGTATATAAATCCTTATAGAATGACCATTTTTTTTTTTTTGGAGACAATGTAAAAATAATTTATTTTTTAGAAATGAATCATATATAAGAAAATATAATAGACTGACCAAAACACTGATTTAACAACAAAAGCAACAAAAAGTATATGTTCAAAGATTGAAGTAACTCTTGGAATGATAATGACTTTTCAAAATTACAGTGGCTATTTCAAATATTTATAATCATGTACTTGTAGAATCAGTATAAATTCAATAGGCAAAAATAAATACTCAATAACCTACCTTGTGTGGCTCTTAGGCCTTGCATTAGGTGAACAGTACAGTAAAAAAAAAAAAAAAAAAAAATAATAATAATAATATCAAGTGGTTGAATTGTATGTAGACCAGGTACCAATTACCGGTGCATAAGGCAGACAGGAATGTTGAGAGCATTTCACAGACTATAACTATTAATACTCAAAAGCATTTCCTAATAGGCTAACATTCATAATTTTAAAATTCCTATCTCAATAATTAAAGCTTATCCAAGCAAACAAATTCAGTCATGTTTGAATCAAATGGTCAATAAAGAAATTGTGGGTATTGTAGATTTTATGAGTATATAAATTCCAGTTAAGAGAGATTTGCTCCAAGTTAATGTACAATTTCCTAGCGTGCAGTAGAAAACATTTTTATGAGATGAACCACTCCTATCACAGCAGATATTTACAGATAGGCATACCTAATCTCATAATAGAAATGTATTGACTTAATTGGACACCAGATGAAAAAACTTGCTCAAGTGATATGTCTGAAACAGGTTCCCATCAATGCTATTATATACCAACATTATTAAAAGAATAACTTTAATTTTATTTTATGATTTTAAAGCAATACCATCATCATCACTGCTGTTGTACATTGTCACAATGGATAGTAGCCAGTTTCCAGTATAATGGTTTGGTCAGTTAAAAAAAAAAATTAAATTAAAAAAAAAAACAACAAACAAACAAAAAACAAATGAAATATTTGGTCTAAAGCAGTGTTTCCCAATATGGGCACTAATGCCCTCTTGTGGGCTCTGTTATATGTGGGAGTTTTTATTTAATTTGTTGGGTGGTGAACATACTCAGTTAGACAGTGGGC